TCGGCATAATGGACGCTAGGCATAAAATACCTTGCTGCTGTGCAACTCTAGAAACCTGCTTAACCTGTAAACCTGTAAACAATGCTTAAATTAGGCTTAGCGTTGAATAAAAAATGATACAAGTTAAACAAACATAGTTTATTTAATAAGCACAGTTTGGAATCCATTATTTATCATATCATAAGTGACGTATCTACATATTTACTTAGATCCATGATTAGTAGCGATAGTGGTTAAGTAATCTTACAATGAAAACTCAGCTTAGTTTTGAACTATATCTTGAAATCAATCGCATCTAGAAATAAAAAAATCACACTTTTGTTGTTATATATTCTTACACACATATTGCAAAAGTCAAAGAAGAAAAGGTTTTCCTCAAAGAACAGCTCATGAAATAAAGAATGGTGAATTCTGTGATTTCATTCAATAACAAAAAAAAAACAGCCAAGGTTGAATAAAATATGATGCCAAAGAACAGCTCATGAAATCAAGAATGGTTAATTCTGTGGTTTTTCATTCAATAACAAAAAAACATACCTGCTGCTTCCAGGATTTCCTGCCATACTTTTCGATACAACGATTCGGATTTTGTTGTCATCAGAATGAAAACTAGCGGAACCGTCTGCTGATGTGAGGGAGCGATACTTCCATGAACAGTGACGAGTTACCGAAACAAACAAGGAACGGTGGCAAACGTACCATCTGTAACCCAATACTTTGCCTGTCCAAGACGGCGTTCATGAGTTTCAAAAATTAAGGCTCTTTCATTATTGTCACCGAAGTCAGCAATCAATAGACGGTCTCCATTATCATCCTTCTGGAATTCATCCGGTAGATTATGCCTAACGTCCATTATGCCTAACGTCCTTTAAGCCCAACGTCCATTATGCCTATGTACATTATGCCTAACGTCCGTATGCCTAACGTACGTATGCCTAACGTCCGTATGCCTAACGACCGTATGCCTAACGTCGTGCACCCCACCTGTGGCACACTTGCGGCACATAAAAAAAAGATGACCCAAGATTGGTGTGCGGAGTGACCTACCCCTTGGTTATTTCTGAAGTGGGTCCAAACTTTTAGTAAGCGATTCAGTGAAGGTATTCAAAGCTGAAGTGATTTAGTACTTTCCCGAGCGGTAGTAAATCGGAAAGTAAATCGGTACTTTCCAAAGTAGGTTCAAACATTGTTGAAGTTATTCGGTTATTTCCGAAGTGATTCCGTATTTTTCTGAAGTGATACATTTTTTTTCCGAAATGCTTCCATATATTTTTGAAGCGATGCAGTGCTTTCTGAAAGAGTTCCAAACATCCAAACATGGTCATAAAAAGAGGTCAAAGTGTTCCAATAAGACAGGGTTCAGTGCTCACTCGAGCTGGTGGAAATTATCTTAAAATGCATATTTCCCTACTGTTGTGTTGGGTTTTGGTCCTTTCTCGGGGGTACCCGGATCATGACCGGATGTGTCCAATGTGGTTCTGAACTTTCGCTTTGGCTGTCAGTGATCATGTTTTTGAGTTCTGATGTAATTTAATATGTCACATGATGGCCCTAGTCAGAAAGTGGCCACTTTCTCCTGGGTGTCATGAACTGGTCGAGGTTTCAAGCCTCTTCCATGATTCACGTCTAAGGCGGTGTCAACTAAATTATCCAGCGATGAAAATCTGCAACTGTCCGCTTTGAAAATCGTTTACAGAATGAAGAGTCAACCTGAACGAACTCGATTACCAGTACACACATCGTGTCGCACTCTTCCAACCCTTAAGCTGGGTTTAGACTAGGCAAGTCAAATGATCAACTCAGTTGAATTCAACTGACTTGAACGTGAATTGAACGTGTAAACCATGCCATTCAATTGACTTGATCAACTCACTTGAATTGAAAAAAGTTGAACCAGGCTCAACTTTTCAAACCAATTGAATTCAACTGAGTTGATCATTTGACTTGCCTAGTTAAGCCTTAAGCTGGGTTTAGACAGGGCAAGTCAATTGATCAACTCAATTGAATTCAATTGGCTTGAAAAGTTGAACCTGGTTCAACTTTTTTCAATTCAAGTGAGTTGATCAAGTCAATTGAATGGCATGGTTTACACGTTCAATTCGCGTTCAAGTCAGTTGAATTCAACTGACTTGATCAATTGACTTACCCTGTCTAAACCCAGCTTTACTCAAATTATTCGTATCATCTCGCTCACTTTGTTTCGAAGCCGAACATCGATTCTCATAACACGAATCATATTCGTGTATTTGGAGCATTCCGAAGCTCAAGTTCAATCAACTTCAGCGCATCTTATTTCGTATGTCGTCTTCCAGTGCTGCCAAACACATTTTGGCGACTTCACACCAAATGAAGGTTTATCCAATTTTCTTTTAATTACTACCATGTCACAGATACTGCACTGGGTACCCGGAATATGGTCAGATGTGGCCAATGTGGTCCTGAAATATCGATAGAACTGTAATTGATCTTGTTTTTTAGCTCTGATGTAATTCGATTTGTCGCATGATGAGTTGTGGTCCTAGTTATGAACTGGCCACTTCTCCAGGTATAATCGCATCATGGCCAGATGTGACCAATGTTATTCTGGGCACTCGGATTGACTGTCATTGATCTTATTATTGAATTTTGATTCAATTTTGACACATCAATCGCATGATAGGTTTTGGTCCGAACCAGAAACAAGCTACTTCTTCTGGACTGATATTGCATTGTGCATTTAGAAGCAAAGATGCATTTAGAGCCTGAAATTTAAACTTTAGAAAAAACAAATTGTCTTCTACAAAGTTGTTCCTTACAGTTAACCCCTCATTTTGGAGCAAATTAATGCTAGGGTGGTTTTTATTATCGTTGAAATAAAAAAAAAATACCTTTATTATTTGCAGAAACAGAGTTGTACTTCAGCTAATAATATCAGCAACTTTGCTTGTTTTTTTTTTTTTTTTGTTGTTTCTTTAAATTGACCGATAAGAACAGTTTTCCTCAATTAACATAGGGTGTGTCTAAGAAATCAGTTTCCTACTCTAGTTTTTTTTTATTTTAAATTTCTCAGCAAAGCTTTCTGGAGATTTTTTTTTATTTGTTTTCCGTCGATCTTGTTTTCCGTGCTGAGCACCAATGCTACCGACGCCAGGAAGGAATCTCCCACACCTGGACCCTACCTATCGACCCATCAACTCATGAACTGGGGACCAACGGCTTAACTTCCCTTCCGAAGGAAGACGTGATCAGAGATGTTATGCCTCAGAACATCCCGGTGGCGCCGACTGGGATTCAATCCAGGCCTGCTGGGGTGAGAGGTAATCACGCTTATCACTACACCACCGGCGCCGCTAAGCTTTCTGGAGATAACTTTAAGAACTTTTGAAGACACAATTTTTGCAGCACTGAACTAGTCGATACCTTTTGCCAATCAAGAGTTATTTACGTTTTTCTTATAAAAGACGCCTTTTTCTAATATTGATATATCTGGTTGAGAAAACATAAAAATCATCTTTAGACGACATTTGAAAAGGCCAATATATTTCTCTATATAATATCAAGAACTAGAGATCAATTATATTTTTAACTTCTATGAAATCAATTTGTCTATATTCATTTTTAGATTGTTTGTCTTAGAACATCTCAACGATCTCAACTGGGATTGAACCCAAACCCACTGGGCTTATAAAAGTCACGATTACTACTCAAATTGACTTTCTTAATTAGGAAAGGGGCGTCAGTTAACAAGGTCGCCAAAGGCACAGTAAACCCTCACTACTATCCTATCCTCTTTATGTAGGGGAAATGACGGATTCGGCATGCCAGACTATTTTCGGCAAACCAAATTGAAACACTATTTTCACTGAATTTTCTTACGAAAACACTTCGCTGAATGCATGCAAACGATTCTTTATGCTTTCAGCTTCAATTTGACTATATTTTTACCACTGAGAAAAAGCAATCTAGCAAGGTTTTCTTGAAATGTAACACACGCACTACAAATTGTAGCTGATTTCGAGTTGCCGATAATAGAACAGCAGATTTACATGCAGTTCAAATGGAACGGTTGCCGAAGAAAAAGTGGTTGCCGACAATACTCGCTCTCACTAGATAAGATTGGAGCTTTGTAAAAACGTTTCAAAACAGTTTTTGACAAATCTTTCGACTGAAATTGATATGAGCAGCTGGCAGCAAAAGATTGTAAACAAACCAATACTGCATATGTGTGCGTTCCTTAGAGAAAAAGGCTATAGAAAGAAGGTTGCTGCTTAGGTTGCCGAGAATACGTAAATTTCCCTACCTACCTCACCCATGCTTCCCATGACTGCATAGCCGAAACTCATAGTTTATAGAATTCATCAATAGAAGATTTCCAAAGAAAGCAGTAAATCCAACTAGATGAAATGGCTCTAATGTTGGCCTATGGATCTAAGATTGGGCCTATCGCTAAAAAGCTGCTATTTATCAATGTTATCTAGATGAACGCGTCATTGGGACGGTACTAATGGATATTTTTGGTCGGTATTGAAAATTTAGTCGATTGCTGAATTTACGTATGGGCCCAAATTAGGGACATTTAGGCCGACATTACATCTATTTCCACTACCTTGTCAAAGTTTCATGCGAAAAAAAATAACCTATTAAACTTCCACGATCGAAGCACCGCTCCACAAGACTCGAGCTTCCTAGTCCATCGAACAACAAACAAACTGATCAACGAAGCGATCAGCGAGTGGGAAAGACCATGAACGAAAATAAAACAACCTTCCTGAACGAGGCGATCGGTCAAACCTCCGATCATCTGGTTTACCTACCTACCGGCTTTAACGAGTCTCGGTGATCCACCACGATCCACCCGTGGCCGAGACGATCTCAATCTCACCAACACATCAAAAAAAAACCAATCCACACTACAGCATCCCTCCCAATTGATAATATTTCATTCATATGCACGAGATAACGCCCTCCTGGTTGGCTCCCTCCGACTGCGACTGAAGCTCGGAACACTCTGGCTGGCTCAATTTAAGTTTTACGTCGTACCCGATTGGATCGCTCGGACAGATCATCGCCGGACGGGCTCGCAATCAGTGTGTCGTCGTTTTGTGCAAAAGTGAAAAGTTGTTCCTTTTTTCCATTTATCCCCAGGAAAATCGTCGGAAATTGTGTTGAGCTTGTGGAAAAGTTTCACGACCACCATAGTCGTCATCATCATCATCACCATCAGCGGTGCGAGGATAGAGGAAGTAGTGTAATTTGCTGCTTTGTGGAACAGTGAACTCTCGAAAAACCGGGGTGAATTTGCAGTTTGCAGCTAGGAAGATGGCAAAGTTTCCTGAAATGCTGGCGATTTGTGCAATCGTTTGCGGTTTAGTCACGTTCTCCAGCGGACACACGTACAAAACGGGAGAATGCCCCACGGTGGAACCGATGAGTGGATTCAACATGCAGCAGGTAAGGAACTTATTGTAGCTAACTGGTTTGTCCGTTTAACTCAATTATAATCGGCGGTGTTGTGTCACCCAAATGGTGCTGATGGTGACGCAAATCAAGCACTGCGTCGCGTGCGAACCGAGTTAATCTAATGGAAGAGTGAAAGTGTTAACGAGAACATTTCACACCGTGAGCAAATTAGTTGCACAACAGTTTCCCTCAGATTCACGGTTGCACTTTATGCGAGCACGGAAGCATGTATTCTCGTGGAGGTAATTCAGCGTAACAACCGGCGGGTGCATGAGAATTGTACCATTTTACAACACTAGTGCTGTTACGTCTGATTAAAGCGGACAACATTGCGGGTACGGTGCCCTTTGACCAACATCAGTTGTGTATGCACTGGGGAATGTTTACTTGAAACACAGGCGCCACATCGTAAATACGAGTGGATTCTACGACTCGTGGTTGCTTGTATAAATGCTGATTGGATGCGGAAGTTTTTGTTTAGCAACGAAATGGCATTCATATCAAGCGAGATTAGCGAATTTAAATGAATAAGCGTAGAAACGGTTTTTCCCAGGCAGATGGGTAGAGCTGGTTAGGTACTAGTTTTTCATACGTGTGCCCCCACCCTTGAGGTCCATGCACTCCTTTTGTTACGTTTTGCGATGGTTTGAATATAATTTTCATTTAAACTTAATTATATTAAAAATTAGTTTAACTTTTACACTAGTATTTTTTTTCTAGAATTGGAATATTTCAACCGGGTAGGGGAAATGGATGTAATGTCGGCCTAAATGCCCCTAATTTGGGCCCATACATAAATTACCGAGAAAATTTCGATTCCCAGAAGACAATTTTAAATTGGCTCACTACTTGACTACCCAAGTAATCAGAAGTTCTAATAAAAGGCTATTTGTGGCTTAAGCAGCTTGGTTGAAGGTGGTCTATAGAATTCTAAGCAGCCTCATTTTTAAGTCGTTATAAGAACTTGAAAGCTCCGGTACTACAATTGAAGAGCATTCTAAGCAGCTTCTGGCGGAACTTGAACGGAACTTTTAGAAAATAAATTGTAAAAGGTTTTTGTCCTCTACAGCAATTTTATATTGATCAGCATCAAAATAACTGCAAAGAGTTATGGAAAGTTTTGAAATCTTTATTAAAACCTAGTAATTTCAAACCGCGGTCCATAGCTTTTAATGACGCATTGGAACAGTCAGAACATGTAATTGCATCTAAATTTAATGATTATATTGAAGACAGTGTTTCATCGATTAATCAATCCATTGAATTGGTCGATGAACCTGACGAAATAAAACAACCAGTTAATAGTAGTTGTAGATTTGAAGGTTTTCACCCAATTACATTAGATGAACTTAGAGTTATTTGTTTTTCATTAGGAAAATCGGCTGGAGTTGACAATGTTAATGCTAGAGTTATTCAAGATTGCTTTCATGGCTTTGCCAACACCTATCTGGACCTTATTAATAAATCGTTGCAAACTGGACATGTGCCATAAATTTGGAAGGAATCCTTAGTAGTTCCTATTCAAAAAATTGCTGGAACGATTAAAGCCGAAGAGTTTCGTCCCATCAACATGTTGCACACATTAGAGAAAATTTTAGAACTTGTTGTTAAAGGCCAGCTGTTGGAGTATTTAAATAGTAATAGTTTGTTGATACCAGAACAATCGGGATATCGAGAAGGTCGTTCTTGTGAAACCGCGTTGAATTTGGTATTAGCGAAGTGGAAAAATAACTTGGAGTGTAAAGATACGATTGTTGCTGTTTTCTTGGATGTTAAACGCGCTTTGGAAACTATATCTAGACCTTTTTGGTCAATATCAATCAAGCGCTTTGGAATTACGAGTACTGCATATAAATGGTTTGAAAGCTATTTGTCTGACACAACTCAATGGACTGTTTTTAATGATTCTGTTTCCAGTCCCGTGGGGAACAACCTTGGAGTGCCCCAGGGAAGTGTATTAGGGCCCCTGCTATTTATTATGTATATTAATGACTTGTGACGTATTTTACAATTTTGCGACATTAATCTTTTTGCAGATGATACTGTGTTATTCATTGCAGCTAAGGATTTAGATGATGCCGTAGGGAACTTTTAAGATACTTTTACGTTTCTAAGAAGTTCCGCTGTTGTGGTCATGGTTTCAGCCTTGCCTGAAGTTCCTAAGAAGTGGTTAGGGATGATTTTTGGAACTTTTTTTGAACTTCACGAGCGTGAAGTTTCTCGTGTAATTTTTAGAGGTTCTAAAGTAGCCAGAAAATTGTGTTAGAACTTTACATGCACTTTCTGGAACTTGAAAGTGGATTTTATCGTTGAATGCGGAACTTTTGGTTTCTTGGAAAGAAAGTACTGTCGGAACTTTATGGAACTTGAAGGTTCTGTCGGAAATATATTTGAACTTTATGGAACTTGAAAGTTCTGTCGGAATTTTATTTGAACTTAATGGAATTTGAAAATTATGTCGGAACTTTAATTGAACTTTATGGAACTTGAAGGTTTTGTCGGAACTATATTTGAACTTTATGAAACTTGAAAGTGAGTTTTATCGTTGAATGCGGAACTTTTGGTTACTTGGGTAGCCTATTGGTCTCAAGTACATTTATAAGCGTCTCCATTCTAGTCGAAATTTTAGTACTATACTATGTTTGTTTTGATTCGCTACGAAAGTTGGACAGAGCGTCTCGTGGATTTTCCTATTTTTCGAGGAGTGCATCAATTGGGACCGAAGTATTTACCAGTTTAGCCCAATCTGAGTAAGCCTACTTGTCGGATTGAAAACTAGTTAGATCCAAATCGACTTCGGTTAGGCATCTTGATGTCATTAGTGACAACTGTCAAACTTTCCGTTTCCTTTCCGCTTCCGCCCACATTGCGTTTGGGCCTTTAGCCAAAAGTTGAGTACGTTTCTTCGGGACCATCTGGTCTTAGAGTTACCTCTACACAGTTTGTAAAAGTAATGTAAATTTTGGTTCAGTATGATGCACATAAATGGAGCGTCACATATCATATAAGTTTACATTATATATCATGTAAGGTTCTGAGACATTTCATGCAATGTAGCGAATGTTGTGTACAAAAGCCCATTGTTGTAAACAACATTCCCAACAAACAATTTGGGTTGATTAACAGCTGAGTAAGCCATTTTTTAGCTGAAGAAGCTTATTTTTGCCTGAATAAGCTATCATTTAACATTCAATGTTTGTTGGGTTGTTTACAAGTTGCTCGGTTGCGTGAAATGAAATACAAGTTTACGTGAATGAATGTTTACATCATTATTAAAATTCAGTATTTTTATCTGTGTATGGCAATACCCAACGCTTCCTCTTAGCAATACAGGCAAATCAAAGGGTATAAAGAAAACATGCCATGTGACACCTCTTTCTTCATGGTTTTCCATCAGTAGGCTTTCTATCCAGTATTTTACGATCGCTAATGGCCACCACAATCTGGCTGAGTTTCTGGTAGGGAACATAAGATTTGAAGATTGGGTTGTGTCGTTTGCAGGGAATCAAGAAAATGGTATCTTCCGATGTTTACCGACTATGAAAATACTAGAAAACGGAATCATGATCAGTGTACAGTAAGATCATGGATTATCATTTGTGTTACACATCATGATCAGCAACAAAAACGATAATCTACTGATATGATAACAATCACTTTGTAATATATCTCGAAATCTAGGAGCTTGCTGTCTTCGGAAAAGTTGTTCTAGAGGTCAAATACCGTACAATATGGAAATTTTTGAAATCGGGAAGACCCATATATGTTGAAAATTCATCTAGGCCGCCATTTTGAAATCCGCCATCTCGACCGTTGGTTTCGGAAAAAAAAACTGTCAAATACCCTACAATATGGGTATTTCTGGAACTGGAATAACATGTGGATGTCGATAATCGATGTCCACCGCCATTTTGGAATACAATTTGGCGGCCTTTGTTTTTAGATAAAACTGTCCACTAGTCAAATGGCGGCTGATATCGATTTTCGATATCTACACGTCATCCCGGTTTCAAAAATACCTATATTGTAGGGTACAGCTGTTTCTAAAACCAATAGCCGCCATCTTGGATTCCCAAATAGCGGCAGATATTAATTTTCTACATCTGCATGTCATCCCTGTTCCGAAAATACCGGAATGACGGGACTGACATCAAATGTTTCCACTATGGGATTTCACAAATTTGACAGTACCCTCTTAACAGGTCTATAAATGTATGGCCCATAACAAACTTGAACAACACATACGAAAATTGCGGCTGTATTGCTATTTTACAGCTGTCGCTTACACCGCATGTGTTTGTTTTGCGTTGGTTGTAAGTGTGTGAGTAAAAAATAGCAGATAACAGAAAAATGCTGGCTTAGCTGCTCCTTGTCTGAAATCGATGGCCACCATCTTGGATTTCCAAATGGCGGCGGACATCAATTTTTGACAGTTTTTTCTTAAATCGATGGCCACCATCCTGGACTTCAAAACGACAGCAAACATCGATTTTCGATCTCTATACGTCATCCTTATTCCGAAAATACCCATATTATAGGGTATTTGATTAGCCTTGTCTTACAAGAGGAATTTTCAGTGACGACAGCTGATGATGATGATCATGATCTGTTACACAAATGATAATCGCTTTATCGTTTCCTGAACTGTCCATTGTGATTTATGGATTTGTACTAATCATGAGTGTAACCAAAATGAGAATGCCATTATCTTTATCTGAATCGTTGATTTTGATTCCCTGGTCGTTTGAAGTGTAAACGATCAAATTTGAACGTTTATACGTCAAACGACACAACCCAAACGTCAAATCATATGATCCCTACCAAAAACTCAGCCAGATTGTGGCACCCTAATAAAAATGTTATGGTTAATTTGCTTAACGACGCGTTCGGGGTATCATCCAAACCATTTTTGGAATAGTTCAATCATTAGGGTTATCGTTTGTGTATGGTCATTTTTTATTAGGGCAGCCATAAGCACTCGTAAAATGCTG